CACTCCAGGCCGACACCCCGGCGATCGAAGATGGACCCTTCTCTCCCTCACACCAGAGGAGTCAGGGACTCGGAGGCTCGGCTATGCAGCTGCGGGTTTAAGATTTCAGGCACAGACTCACACCAGGTCTGCTCGTCCTGCCTCGGGCTGGAACACGCCCGGGAGGCTATCGATAACCCCGGCTGGTGCGGGCATTGTACCCGCTTCACCATGAAGAGCCTCCGCCGACGGTTAGCACGCCAAGCTAGCTTGTCGGGACAGGACCCCCTCATGTCCGCTGATTCGCCGGCCGGCAATCAAGACATGGTGGCGTCCGCCGCAGAGATTGAGCCCCGCGCTGTGTCAGACTGGGGCTCAACAACAGCGACAGCCGCTGAACCGGAGCCCCACGCCGTTTCAGGCTGAGACCCGGTGGCGGCAAGAGCCGCGAGAGCGGAGCCCCGCGCTGTGTCAAGCTGGGGCTCCCAATTGGACCTCACCATGGTTCCACCCGCGGAGGATGTCCTGGAGTTGGACTACATGGAGGACGAAGAGGATACCTCTGAGTTCCTCCTGTCTGACTCAGATGAGGATGACATCTTCGTTTCATCGGCTCAGGCTGCAAAGCCGGGAGAGATGTCCGCTCCCCCGGGCGAGAGCACACCAGCTTCGCCCGTCCTAAGCATGGACTTGCAGGCCGTGTGTCAATGCGCTGCGTCCAGGCTGGACATCCCATGGCCTGAAGTGGCCAAGGAGACCTCCAGATCTCGCTACGAGGGGAAGAACTTGCCCCAAGCAGCGAGGACGAAGAGGTAGTTCCTTCCAGTCTTTCCGGTGATGCTGGACAAGGTGTCGGTCTCGTGGAGAGACTGTCCCTTCAGCAACAAGGCCCCAATCCAGGGTGCCTCCTCCCTGGACTGTGACGGTATGGAGAGGCTCGGCCTGCTCCGCATGCCGCCCATGGAACCGCTGGTGGCAGCCCACCTCCAACCGAGGCTGGCTTCGACACCGAGCAGGAACCCCATGCTACCGGCAAAGGCAGACCGGTTTCAGTCAGCGATGACCGAACGGGCCTATAAAGCCGCAGCTTTGTCCGCCAGGGCACTTAACGTCTCCTCGCTGCTGACCGCCTACCAGGCGGAGCTCTGCGAAGACATGTCGAGCAGACCTGAGCCTGCCGTGTCACGATCACGGACATTTGCCTCCGTGTGCAGCGCTGTGCAGTCCAAGCCACGGGCAAAGCACTGGGAATGATGGTGGTACAGGAGAGAGCCAGGTGGCTCAACCTGACCAACCTTCCAGACCGGGAAAAAGAGGATGTTCTGGACATGCCTATTGTTCCCGAGGGCATATTTGGCTCCGCTCTAGCTTCAATGCAGCTGAGGTGCGAGTCAAAAAGGAAGGGAGACAAGGCTCTCCAGCTCTGTCTCCCCCGAAGGGTCCAGCCGCCACCTCCAATGGTCCCGCGGGAGGCCTTCACCCAAGCTGTCTCACGTCCTGCCCGGTTCAAAATACCGAAGCAGCAGAGACCGCAGCCCGTCCCGGGTCCCCAGCCCCCAGGCACGAGGTAAGAGGGAGCTGGCCAAGAAAATCTCCGGTTCCGGCAGCTGCCGCTCAGGCGCAGCCGACCCAGGTTTTCAGCCACCAGGCGAGGAAGAAGAAGCGGGCGGCCTGACAGCCTCCTCTCCTCTCCTCGATGAAGGAGCTGGAAGTTCCCTGTTCCCCAGCTCCAGAGCACGTTCCAGTGTTGGATGCTCATGTGTTTTTGGGGTGCCACCATGCCCCTATCTTCCCGCCGCCTCGAGTGATGCCAGAACGTCATCCTCAAGTTCGCGCCATCAGGGAAATGGACTTAACATCAAAGAGAGCAAGTTCCGCTGCCTGTTTAAGTCACACATGTCATCATTGTTGTTTCAAAATAAATCATTTTCCACTGTCGTTTCCAGGCTTGAAGCCAAGGGCGCAGTCAATAAAAATGAAAAGAAAAACAATAAAAACAATAAACAGTCTGTCGTCTGCCCCTCTTTTGAGAGCGGCTACGGCCTCTCTCAAAAGGCGGACAATAGACGGGATTGTGAAGGCATCACCGCCACGCGCATGCGCAGTGTCGGCCGGGGTTGTCAACCTGGGGTACCACCGTGTTCAGACACTAGAGGGCCCCATAACACAACAAATATAGACACTTAGGGCAGACGACAGAGCTGTGACATCTCCGCTCGCTTTGAGAAGCGAAAAGTGGAGGATGCTCACAGATTCTGCTTGGGTTTTCAAGACAATAACACGGGGCTACAGGCTCCAATTTGCTGTCACCCCCCCTCACTTCTCGGGCATTCTGTATTCACAGGCCCGGGGAGAGTCGGCCCATATTCTAGAGCAAGAGATTTTCTCGCTACTAGACAAGAAGGCTATATCTATAATACCCTCCGAACAGAGTCAGAGCGGCTTTTATTCCAAGTATTTCCTCGTTCCCAAACGGGGAGGGAACGGGATTCGGCCTATACTAGATTTGAGAGCTCTGAACAAATATCTCAAAAGATACAAATTCAGAATGCTCACTCACACATCTCTGTTGCGTCTCGTGCGCCAAAACGACTGGTTCACATCAGTCGACCTGAAAGATGCGTATTTCCACATCCCAGTATATTACCCACACAGGAAATATCTGAGGTTCGCATTTCAGGGTGTCTGTTACGAGTACAGAGTAATTCCCTTCGGTCTGTCTCTCAGCCCGCGAGTGTTTGTACGGTGTACGGAAGCCGCGATAGCCCCGTTAAGACAACAGGATATTCGCCTGGCAACTTATCTGGACGATTGGCTCCTTCTCGCACAGTCGGAGCAAGAGGCTATTACGCAGACGAATGTCCTCGTAAAACACCTGCTCGACCTGGGTTTTGTAATAAACACAGAAAAGAGCATGTTGTCTCCAGCCCAGACTGTACTCTTCCTGGGCCTACGCCTGAATTCGGTGCCCTTTACAGCCCGCTTATCAGCAGAGAGAGTGAAAGCCTTCAGGGCTTGCCTCGCTCATTTCCAGCCACGCAAATATGTTCTTTTCAGGTCATGTCTGCGGTTGCTGGGACTCATGGCGTCAGCCATTCTGATGGTACGACTGGGACGCTTACACATGAGGGAGTTTCAGCGCTGGGTATCTGCCCTCAGATTGGACCCCGCGCGTCATGGCGCACGGAGAGTGATGGTCACTATGAAATGCGTAATGGCTCTGCGCCACTGGCTGCACCCGACTTTTCTAGTACGGGGCGTACCTATGGGTGCTGTCCTATCGCGGAAGGTGGTCACCACAGACGCATGTCTGACGGGCTGGGGGGGTATATACGAAGGTCGACCTGTGAGGGGTCTCTGGAGCAGAGACCTCCAACGGTCACACATAAATTATCTGGAGCTTTTAGCGGTGTTCCTCACCCTGAAACGCTTTCTGCCTTTTCTCAGAGGACATCATGTCCTCGTGAGGACAGACAACACGACCACAATATCGTATATAAACCGCCAAGGGGGTTTGCGTTCTCTCCAGTTACACATGCTGGCACGCAAACTGATCTTATGGAGCTGCGGACGTGGATGCTCATTCTACTCGTGGACTGGCTACATCCTGGGCTTTGTTCAAGGGTGTTTCCATCCAAGACATTTGTGCAGCAGCGAGCTGGTCCTCGCCGCTCACTTTTGTCCGCTTTTACAGGCTAGATGTCTCTGTTCCAAGTGTGGCCCGCGCAGTGCTGGGTCCCGTGTTGAGACAGAGTTCTACCTGTTAAGTTCTGGTTGTTTTTTGTGATTTTCGAGATAAGCATGTCTAGCAATACGGGAGTTTCAATATCCCATAGTGAGATATCGAACGGAGTGTTATGAATGAGAACTATAGGTTACTTACGTAACCCCAGTTCTCAGAGTAACATGAAGTGAGATGTCTCACCAGACGGCCCTTCTTGCTAAGGCGAAGCGAGAAGAGGTGCTTATTTTGAATGACGCTGCGTCGTAGCGCAAGCTACTTAAAGGGTGGGTGGATTCCCTGACGTTGACGTCAAGATCACCAGCCAATCAGGATTGGCGTAATGAGATTGATGCTTCTGTTTGCATACGCATTGAGGCGCATCCCATAGTGAGACATCTCACTTCATGTTACTCTGAGAACTGGGGTTACGTAAGTAACCTATAGTTTCGTCTCCTCCTTCTCCTCATCCGTTACATAACGGGACTCCCAGACACCCAGTGGACGGTAGGTCTTTGCATCAAACTATTTGTAATGCAAATCCAATCAGTGTACTAAGTTTATATCGCCAATGACAAGTTATTTGATTCAGTTTCTGTCCACCAGCTTGAAGGGATCATTATAGTGTGTGATGCTAATGCTAACCAACATTTGCCCCCTGGATTCTCGTTGAATCATTATTTCCTTGCACTCAATATTGCTTATCTTCTTAACTTGATCCTAGCCGAAGTTTCAAGACTGTTTGTCCCCTACATGGGAGGGAGGAGGACGGCAGGGCGGCAAACCCTTTCTGGTCCTGCACACCTGCATTCTTATACCCATTTATTCTGTTGCCTTGAGGACAAGAATGCAGCCTTAGTCCCCAACCGATACGCCAAAGAAAGACTCGCTGCTGCTGGCTTAGGGGAAAAACGGCTCACATTTAAAGGTCTGTCAGTCATTAGAATGACGATTATCAAACTGCTATTTCCTTTTCTGTGTATTTTTTATGGTAAATGTACATTTGTGATATATAAATATATTGAGTTACCCTTACAATCATAACATTATCTTTATGTTAGATCTCTTATGTGTATCATCTATTTCTAGGCAGCCATACAGATTCAAATGAATTCCTCGAATTCTTGATGGATGCCTATCCAAAACTGCGGAACGGTGGCGGTTTCGAGTTGCTAAAAATATCTGGCACTACGAGAAGTCGCCACTTGATTGTGATCCCCTGTCGCAATGAGGGTTAATATGTCAGATATTTGAAGGACCCTCAGACCCAGATTGGCCATTCTACGGTTTTCATTAGACCAATACAAAGAACCCTGAATTTGGACCCTGTAAGTTCCTCACTTCTATAGTGGTGTCACAATATTAAAGTGGAATCTGTGACTTACAGTAACATAATTGTTCGCTTGTGATTTTTTATTTTTTTTTTTAAACTATTTTGTTTACAGGCATGTCGATCAGAAGGCGACAACGTGTTAATTGGACCAAATCAGAAATGTGTCATCTGTGGAGAGGAGTTCCCCTTTTCCAGAATCAAGGATCACAGCAATAACTGCATGAGGTATTACTCTCTACAGAACTAAACATCACATTCGTCAGGCACACTGCAACTGCATGTGTAGACACACAATAACCAATAAGCATAAGGCTGTGGGATGCTGCAAATGGATGTAAAATATTTTGACATATCAGCACATCTGAGGTTTTATAATTATGGGGCCAGATATTAGTACTTTTTGTTCCAACAATCCTGTAACGCCATATTTTGCTGTCCTCTATAATACATTTAAATATGAAAGATATACATTCTGGATGTTGGTTTTGAGGAAAAGTAACATTTGGTTTATTTGTCATTCTATTTATATGCCCATCTTTTTCTAGAGTGCCGATATGTAATGTAAAGTATACTAGACCGAGTAACAGAAATTACCTCTTTTTACACTAGACCATCACAGAGCAGCGGTGAGGTACGGATTGAGTTGACAACTGAAAGGGCCTCCGGAAGTCAAGTTAGATTTGAAAGCATGTTCACAGGAGCACAGGGAAATTAGATAACAAGGGCCAGGAACTTGGTGCCACCTCAGGAAATGTTGCCTTCTCCTGAGGTAGTTGACATCGATCCCACTGAGGAAAGTGGCTTCTCTGGTGTGTAACATCCTTTATTAAGTACATCATGTATTGCAATAAGTTGTTGCTCTCTACATTTCACTTGATCCAATATTAATTTGGAAACCTTTTAAACTATTTTTAGATTGGAAAATAGCACCAGATCCCACAGAGGCAGCAAAGATGTTTAAAGAAGACATTTTAAGCCAGCATGCAACTGGAAAATCCTTGTGTCTTACTATGGATCTTGGAGACAGTGCAGAGGAAAGGGAAAGAGCAGTCCTTACTTTTTATAAGGCGGCAAATGTTGAGTGGGCTTGCCCCTTGACATGCACACTTAAGGGTAATTCGGTTACAAACAAAACCTAAGATAAAAAAATGAACAAACCATATTTTCGTTAAACTGATGTCTGTAGTGTGTTTACATTTTTCAGGAGATCCAGCAATTGGTGATGGTGTGACTCGACATTTCTTTGCAACCATCATGTCAAAACTTCAGGCTGGTTTTGAGATGAAGTTTGGTAAGTAAATATTTACTATGGCTGATCGCTGGGTCTCAGCCACTAAGTTATGTGTATTTTTGTACCAGTTCCAGGCTGAAAACAGATCTGTCCCTTAACCCCAGAAAACAAAAATGTATTCCTAAAACCTGATGTGATTGTAGCTGCTGTGAACATGTAGGTTTCTACAGGATCAACCAGTATCCAGTGGCGGTTTGATAATTCCTTTACTAATGCTTTGTGATAGTTGAATATCTATGTCCTTTACTTTACTATCAATTTACTTTGACTGTTTTCCTATATTTGAAGTTTCTGGAGGAACTCTTCTTTTTGAAGGAGAACAAGATCATCTGTTTCCCTCCACTTCTCATCTCCTTTTGGAGAGTGACTTCTTTGTTGTTGCTGGCCGAATGATTGGACATTCATTCCTCCATGATGGGCCATGCCTAGGTGGACTGAGCCCAGCTATCCTGCATGTGCTCTTTGGTGGATCCCCGGAAGAAACCACAATAGATATTAAGGACTGTGTTGACCTTGATATCCGTGAGACAATCAAGTTGGTATGTTCAATTTTTTTCTAACTTATTTTATTATTCAACCTTTGGATATTATTTATTTAGCTGATCTACTTTCAGATACTGTTAACATCATGTGGCTACACTTTGCACCAGCAGGGGTACTGAAGCATTATTAAACACCATGCACTGATATATTAAATATCATTAGAACACTTACAGATGTCCTCCTATAAGACGTTTTTTTGACAAAAAATAGCTTTTACAGGTTACCAACTACTAACATGCTGATTATAAGTTAAACTTCTTATGTTGTATCAAAGTTGAATGTTTATACAAGTATTGAGAAATTAACGATTCTTATCAAATTCATTCTACTTGCCATTATTAGCTGGAGGGAACAGCAGAATTATCATTAGAAGAAAAAAACCTCATCAATGAGTTGGCACTGTCCTGGGATTTGCCTCTAGTCACATGTGACAACAGGAGATGGCTATTTGATAAACTGATCCTCCATGCTGTGAGTATTCTGTACTTAACAGGTCATATGAATCAGACTGACTAATCAGAGTTAAAGTTTTGAAGTAGGACCTAATTTTGGCTTATCACATTTTAGCTTTTTTGTTAAATACATATTTGGATGTTAATACGTGTATTAAAACATGCTTATTGGGCTATTAGATAAATCAGGCTGCTTTGCTTTTCTACTGTGATGCAAATATTGTGCAGGTCCTTGGAAGAACCTCCAGACAAGTCAAGCAGTTACGAAGGGGTTTAAAAGAGACACTGATCTGGCCTCTGCTGACGGAGAGGAAAGACACGATTCCCCTTCTCTTTCCAAGAGCATCTGATTTGCAGTGCACACCACGGGTAAGTGATCTCATGCTGCTCAGTCAAATCCTTCCTCCTAACTCACAGGAGTTAGAAATTGGGTTTATTTACTACTCTCAGACCTCCATTGCTTTAAGTTTATTATAACAAACATTCACCTACACAAACATATTTTTAAATGAAATGATGCTACTTGCTGCTTAAAAGGAGATAAACCAATAGAACAACTGTATCTTTAGACTACTCTGCTGCTACACAGCAAAACCTGCAGTTTCTTGTATGTTCTGTTTATTATTGTGCTTTCACTGGGCTCCTTTCAAAACTAAATCTGTCAGATGGTCTTGGAGAAGATAAACTGGCCCACACAGGATGAGGATGAAGACAGTGAAGTCTCTTTGGAGGATTCCTGTAGGATCACAGGATTCCTGCACACATTTATTGAGATGGGTAAAACAACGTCTTCAAGCTTTGTTTACTGAAAGTTTGTAATTATTATAACGAAAGCTGCGCTTCCTCTGTTTTTATGTTTAACCGTGGATTTTCAGCTACAGTAACAATCCAAGGCGTAATTTAAGTAACATTGTTATTTAACTATTAACTGAAAGCAATTATAATAAAATTAATTTATTTTCTGTTTTATAAAGCATCTCCCCATATCCTTGGGAAACTTGTGCAGTTCTGGATAGGATGGAATGTGCTTCCTAGACATGACCGTGGTGGAGAGCAACTTCCCCAGCTCTTCCACATGCTTTCACCAGCTGAAACTTCCAGGACATTACAAAGAGTACTGTACGTTTGAAAGGGACATTCTTGCTGCTATTTGGAGCACTGAAACTGGGTTTGGAATGGTCTGAAGAGACGGACACACCTTAGTACTTGTGTAAGATTTGTTGTCTTTTGTTTGGCCGGCCAAAAATGTATGTTTTCAGAGAGGAACAACAACTCAGCCTACTCCGGCCAGTTTGTGTAACACTGAAAATATATAAAGATAAACATGCTTTCCTTGTTATTGCACATAACAAAGAAAACATGTTTATCTTTATATATTTTCAAAGTTTTAAATTGATATTGGTTACAAAATGTTCATTAACTGTAACAAATGTATATTTCTTGATGCATTACAGTAAGTGTTGATTCACAAGCATATGGTTCAGTGAAACACATGTTTAAAATGACTACTGAACGTCATTTCCATTTAATTTGTATTGTATTAAAATCGAGATATACTGAATCTTGGTACCAGCGTCTTCATGTAACTCAGTCAAATATTGTCACCTAATCGTCCTAGTCGAAACTTTAAAAGACTACATTTCCCACAGCAACAGCCTTTTGATACACACACATTTACTGTAGCATTTCAGTCAATAAGCTCACAGTTTGTACATAGACATTCCACACATTGGACAGAGGGCCATCAGGGTCTGGAAGTCTTTCCACTTCCTGGTCAGTCAGTGAACGTTGCAGCTGAACTTCAGGAACCACAACATGAGGCTGGCGATGAGCACATGGTCCAGTCCAGTCAACTCCAAACTTAATGTCAACATGCAATTGCAAGAGCTAAAGTTAGAGTCAACCAAAATCAAAGTTTTAATATATATATATATATATGTCAGTTAATTCATTTTATATAACCTAAAGTTTTGTATCATCTCCTGGAATTCCTGATTAATGTCCCATGAACAGCTGACATCAATCAAATAATTAGAGAGAGCAGAAAGCCCTGATGTATCATTATCTTCCTTAATCGCTTGTTCTGCTTGAACACAGCATTTTAGGAATACCTCATAGAAGTGTTTAAAGTGCCGATGATATGCAGAATAAAATAATTCCATCATATTCAGTTTCCTCGACAACAGGCCACTATTTGTTACATTGTGCAACTATATGCACTTTGGAATGGACCTCCCTTGTATTATTAGTTTTAAACAGTTTGTGTAATGACAGAAAAAGTGGGTATTAGTGTTAACATGGTCCCATGTAGGAAAGTAAAGTCAAAATAAAACTATTTAATACAATCAAACCTGTATAGGTTCCTGTTAAGCCTCACGCTCATGGCGAGTCCACAGTTGCAGTGGGGACCGGTTTCCCTCAGTGCTTAGTCTGTGGCAGTTCCAGCCTTGCTGGAAAAACTGCAGGTGCTTCTGTATGTGGGGCACAAAGCACCAGCGCAGAGCCTAGAGATGCACTTCACAGTCAGGATTGAGAAGGCCTTCTCTCTCTAGGTTGAAAAACATTGTGTAGAAGAGATCCAGCACTCCCACATAAACGTCTCTCCAGAGCCTTTCTATCCTTTTGAGGAAAAAGGAAGGCAAATATTTAGTCTGCTAAGTGAACAAAAAAAAATATAACATACATGCAAAATCACCTTTCACCTATACCATAAATGGTAAGTAAATTAGAATTGAATTACATTAATTAGAAGCCAAGTATTAACATTTTTGCCGATTTCAATAGGACAATGTTCCTGATTAAGTGGCAAGTGCACAATAATGCCTCTGGAAAAAAGCTGGAAGTTGGATTTAGCAAACAACATTTTGCTTGAGCAAAGTTCATCAAACTTGGGAGAGGTTTTTCTACTGTAAGCTTTGTTGAAACTAGATCAGGAAATATATCAGCTGAACATACGATGGATGTATAAAAAAAAAGACGGACTAATGCCATATTTAGGCCACATTAACTGTTGGGGTTCAATATTAATGTAAGGTTCTCTTGACTGGAAAATACATTCAAAATCCAAGTTCCAACAGTAATTTGCCCAGTCATGCAACGTGCTGGGACTTCCACTAAATAGATATTTGAAAAATATTGTTATCCTTCTTGTCAAATTATACAGTTGGTGTCATAATTATAGTGTTTGTATTATAGAAATATAACTTTTTTTATTTCTATGGTTTTATCTCACAGAGGAAGACGAACAAAAATAAGACAACAAAATTAATAATAGCTAAATAGCTAAAGACATAGAGTTGACATTGCAATCTTTACCAAAGACTTAATTTGATAAAAGTTTGACTTGAAGTTTAAGGTACCTTTGATTATGGACACTCCTGCCAGCAATGTGTGAATTCCTGTTCTCTCCTCGGTTTGCCACCATGTAGCGTGCAACGTCAACATTTTCTCCACCTTTATCTGACCTCACACGTGATGGCACACCGTAGACATTGGCGGCTTCCAAAAAGCTTCTTCAAACTGTTGCTGCCCGATTGTTGGTGGCAGCACTCAAGTACACGATGAGACGATTAAAGCCGTCAATACCACCATGCACAACAAAACGCCACCTAAAGGGATATGTATATAGGCACACATTAAGGTCAATCCACTAATGTATGTACAGACATTTACACATTTAAAAAGGCCTTATCCTACTAAAAGTTCTAATTACAAAACATAAATCATCTTAATTTTGATAGTAAAACTAATTTGCATGCAGAGGAATTAGGTGCAATTAATAATTTGATACATTTCATGTTTTTTTATGTCTACAGAATATTGTATGTTGCATTGTTAGAGGAGACTGAGACTTCAGATTTTCATTACCAACCAATAAAAAAAGCTATCATGCATATGACAATAAAGCCTGTAGCGTAGGTCTTATCCCTGAACGAATAAATTAAACTTTTTAGACACACAGAAACAGAGGGATAGCCCGGTGACCTAGCTACTGAATTTTACAAA